GGTGGGGAGATGAATGGGGGAGATAAGAGGGAGACAGAGAGGTTTGGGGGGTGGGGGCTTGATGGACAGATTGAGACATTAATGCTGATGGAGGGAACAGATAGAGCTCCACTGATCTGCAGATGGAACAATTAGTCAGTTAATTGAAAGTGAAAAAAGAAATTCACATGAAACAACATTTTGACTTAACAATTATATAGGAATTATTATTTTATCTAAAGTCCAATTGTGACATAGCAACGCAAATAGGTTTACTTCCTATTTAAAAAAAAAGGTGCCAGTCAATTTATTTGTTTTATTTACTTTTTGGGGATATAATAATTTAAAGAAATGACGATTATTTTCATGTTTTTGGTCAAAATAATAGAAGAAAATGGACCGTTCAAATCAAAATCACAAGTACAAAAGGATTTTTAATTACTTTTTAAGTCAGGAATATTATACAGAAAGTAATTGGAAGGGAATTGTGAGTCAAAACAAAATTGGTGTCAGAAAAACTGATGTTATCATATTGCAAATACAATTCCTTTTTCAATTTTCTATTAGCTGCCAAAACTCAGATTTAGCATGTTGTTGGTACTGATCTAATTTAGTTTGACTGCTGTGTCACTTCCTGTAATTACATAAGCACTGAGAACTGTAACCCACTGTGTACTTAAATACGTCCACTTTAATTTTACTGCATCGGCCTCTGTAATTACAGACACTGTAAACTGCGTGCCTGTGCTGTTCGCAGCTAACATGCTAACGCGCTAACAGGATGTCTTCACAGCGTGATACCTTCACTGTCTTTCTGTAAATCTGAGTCTCTCTCTGGAGACAAAGAAAGGCGTCGCGTAACCAAACTGAGAATTACAAACTAACACTGTCTATATATAATATTAGAAGAGGAACTGAATACACGAGGGAAGCTGGAGACAGAGCAGCGTTATGTTTCCGTTTGAAAACGATGTGAAAAAAAGTAATCAAATTTGTTTTAAGTATCTAAAAACTTTTGTTGAGTTTTTTTTTTTTTATGAAACCAATGGCATGCATTCATCCGTTTTTCTTTGTCTATTATGTAAAAACTTGTATTTTTCCAATTGTATTTAATACTAAACTTGATTATGTTGCATGGTTACAAAGAGTTATACTGTGTGGGGAAACGTGAAATCAGCACATGTCAAATTGAGCAATTTTGCAGCAATCCGAAATAGCTACCGGCCATTTCCTTTCTACCTAAAAAAACATTACAACTAGTCAAATAACACACACACTATTTTGATACTCGTTTAGGTTATTCTCAAATTAAGGTGAATATCTTTGGTTTTTATCACAAGATATTTAAAGACATCGACTTGGACTTTGAGAAACTTGATAGTAAACACAATTTGAAAGACCTAAGCATGAACCTGGACAATAATCTGGACAAAAATAATGTAACTATGTGAAAATACCTTTATATATATATATATATGAGCTATATTGGACATTTTTCACTATTTTCTAACACGTTATACACTAAAGGACAATGACGATGAAAACAACTGTTAGTTGAAGCTTAACAGAAATGTTTTAGTAGATTATTAGATATTGAAAATAATAATTGGTTGTAGCCCAATGGTAGTTTTTATTGTGTAAAACTATGTCTTGTTTTTACAGCATGGAGGGATGTCATTGGGCGATGCTCATCTAGCTCCATGGCAAAAACCAGAGAACACACTGCTCCATTAACTGTGTGTACGTGTGTGTGTTTGTGTGTGTGTGCGTATATTTAAACAGTTTAGGCCTGTCATTACCACAGGGTTTCGGACCACACACACACACAAACACACATCATCAGCCGATCAGATTGTTATTTCATTAGAGGGAAACACTGTCGATCACATGAGTTCTTTTTTTAAATTAATGGATCACTTGATGGAAACCAGAGACTCTGAACATCTAAACACATCTGACCCTGAGCGGTTACAGCGGCGGCCATGTTGGCTCTTCAGTCGCAGTTAAACAAACATCTGTTACGGGCTGACAATGTACGATATGTCTGGATTTTTTTTACAACATTTCAATCCACTATACTCTACCGGCAACACACAGCAGACAGTTAGAGACTAGCTGTGAGCATTTAGCCGCTAAAGAGACGTTTATATTTCCCTCAGGAGTTTAGACCAATTATCTTGACTACAGCTCACGAGACGGATGTCCATCTGAACGTCTTCTCGCTCAGAAAGGTAGACACTTCTCTTAAAGTAAAGCTGCTCTCAGTCTCTGCATGTTGACATTAATGTGTCTCAATGCGCACATTGTACGCAGTCTGATCAGCAACTTGGGACGTGAGAATGAAGTGGGAAATACAGATTGATTATCTTCACCGATTGGTTGTGAGATTACATTTCTAAAAAAGGTGCATGCTGGTGGATACTATCCAAACTAAAAGTGGAAACCAGAATGCTTCAGACACCAACATTTCCCTGTTGCCTACAGATACTACAATACCATAGATACTATCCAAACCATGCAGATAGGTGTTTACATTATATAAAGCATAATAGTGGTCCAAGTAAAACAGACACTAAGTGATGGGTTGCAGGGTTGAATTCAAGCGAATGCGTTCCTTGTTTATCTCTTAAAACAGACTGCTTACTGGCATTAAACCAAAGAATGCTCAAATATGATTGGCCAATGAGTCAATGTGTACGCTTCAAACACCAACACTTTGTCTTGTTGCCTACAGATTCTGTATTCAAATCCAGATATCGGTTTATAGAGATTAATACTGACATTAATAGTTGTCAGATGGTAGACGATGGCTTTCAAGATTGCATTTAAAGCCTGCTCCAATCCAACTACTAATACAAACCAGAATACTTCTGAAAAAACATTTTCCAGTTCAATTCTATTCATATGCAGATATGTGTTTAAAGAGATTAATACAAGATCAATCATGATCAGATGATAGCTCATGGATGGCAGGATTTCAATCAAGCCAATGTGCTTTGTTTACATTTAAATTGTTTACCTGCACTAAAATTAATTGTGCTCAAACGTGGTCAAAATAACTTGGACTACTGGGAATGAGTACGCTTTAAGTGCCTACTTTTTGTCCCTTTGCCTACAGATTCTGCATTCACGGCAGATATCAGTTTAAAAGGAATCAAGATATCAGATGACAAGCGATGGGTTAAAGATTGCATTTTCATCCAATGCTTTCCACCTTTTTCTTGTATCTGCATTCAACCAATGCCCGCTCAAACAAAATGCTACTTGAATTTCAAACGGAAACCCGAACCTTTTAGATTTGCTTTACGCTGCAAAGACACTTTATATTCTTTCACAGAGTTTCAAATGTATCTGAAACTAAAATTGCTTTAACTTAAACTACAACTCCAATACAACATATAATTTCTGCAAAAAATAAACGTTATTAAGCACATTTTAACCTGTTTATAATGTTTTCTGTGTGAGTCTCTTACCAACACATTAAGCTGCCATTACACAACCACAGAGAAGTTCTCCTATAAACTCCTGTTTTAGTTCATTTTGATGGAAAATTAAATGTTTCTGTACATTATGTTAAGCTTATCACACAGTTCCCAGACTTCAGTCCTTTATGTCGGGCCTATTTTTGGGTTCCCTCTGCAGGATTCAAAACAAACAGTAAAGTCACGATGACTGACAGGAAGCTCATTCATCAGACACTCCTGCTGACCTCTGACCTCTGGCTATACATCACCGCTGCACTGACTGCTGGGGCAGGACATCAAAACAACGTTTATTCCCGTGACTGACAGTCAGGGCACGCTACATTTCACTGACGGCTACATTTATCATGGAGAACTCACTGTGTAAACGCTGATTGGATACATTACTGAGCTGGACTTCATCCATCAGAAACAGAAACATGATGCAAACCAATCAAGTTACATTTAAAGCTGAATCACCATTAAGATTATAAGGATTTATAGTGAAACGTTAACTGAAGAAAAAGCATGTGAGCCCTGATGCTGATTGGCATGTCTTTGACCTTAGAGGCACTGAATGTAATGGGACAAATGTAATGGAAACAGGGTTTTTAAACACCCCCATCCACTCTGAATTTGGCCATATTACATTACAATAAACTGCACCATAATAAAGTGGTGCAGTGATGAGGTATTTTTGTCAGCCAACCCAGAATCTAGCATCTTCCTGGTTCCATGGAATAAAAGCCAATTGGATTTTACAATTGGATCATTGTAGCAAACACACGATTATGAATCTTACACGTTTTGTTTATCAGGATAATCTCGACATATTCACAGCACCTTATGATTTCTGAAGTAAAAAGCTAACGTTAGGCTATAAAGGAACTACAGCACGGTCACATGACTTCACGTCACCACCGCTAAGCTAAAGGAGGCTAATGTTGGGCTATAAAGGAACTACAGCACGGTCACATGACTTCACGTCACCACCGCTAAGCTAAAGGTGGCTAATGTTGGGCTATAAAGGAACTACAGCACGGTCACATGACTTCACGTCACCACCGCTAAGCTAAAGGAGGCTAATGTTGGGCTATAAAGGAACTACAGCACGGTCACATGACTTCACGTCACCACCGCTAAGCTAAAGGAGGCTAATGA